TTAACTTCAAGAAACTATAGCATATAAGACAAAAAAGATTGTGTATCACATTAGCCAGGAATGTGACTGTCGTGAGCACAAAGTCATGTGCTTGAGAAAAAACTTCACTAGTACAGATCTTGCTCGTTTAACATTTGACTTAGATACTTAAAACCATAACACTAATGCTCATTACAGAAAAGTTCTTACTACAATAGCAACGAAATGCAACCCATCAGCAAAATCCATCGTAAAAATGGCATGGGAATTCATCTCATTTATTTTTATCACATTCGCAACAAAAGCCAGGATTCAGAAAACAACTACAGCTTCGATACAACAGCAGAAAATAACAGTTCTTTTGTCCGTTTTCTTATAACGGTATAGTTTTAAAAATGCGTTCTCATTGATCGTGTTTCATCAAGCAACAAAAGAATATTAAGTGATAGATGGCACCTTCCCTTTTCTATCTACTTTCATTATATCTGTTTAAGCGCTTCATCTCCTATTTCTATCAAATATGCATTATATACAATTTAGTTATTTAAAAATGTAACTGTAATAGAAAAACAGTTACTATATCGGTCGCCATATTGGCCTCTTCCATATTTTTTCTTCTGGTAGCTAGCTTTTTGCATCCGCTGAAGTTACCTGCTATTGGCAGCTGTTATTGGCAGGTAACTTCTTACAAGGAAAAAGATATGTATGTATCGGTAAGCGTTCCATATACGAAGTGAAACAGGTAAGCGATATATGTATACATATTCGATTAAATTCTTGTGTCATCAAAATCATTTTAATGAAATTCCTGATATTATCCGGTACTGTCATTACAAAAAACGCTTTAATGGAAGCGTTTTCATGAAAATCACCTAATCCTTTGTTACGTAGTGTTTTATACTTGTATCCTTCTTCGTGTCGGTGCCAGCAATGAATTATGTTTTCATATTTTATTAACAAAAGCTTGTTCAGATATGCACTAATACGAGTGAATAGTAGTTTATTTACAAAGAAAACCGATCCATTTATATACACAATATTGCGCAATCATCTTGAGTATTATGGTGCAATAACCATGACCATATCGTAGTGCAATAATTATAGTTATTGATAAAAAAGTTTATTGACAGTTTTCCTGAGCGCTTAATGGTTTATCAGCGGTAGGGTTTCTTAATATACCCTCCCAAATTGTAGAAAAGCGTTTTTTTAAACCCAAAAAGGTATCGGAGTTGGATTAAAAAACTGTCAGGGTGTCACACTTTGGATGAAAAATCCATTGGTTTTCTGATAAACCCTTTTGATTTTTTAATGAACCCAAAAGGACTTTTCTCGCTTAAAAATCCTACGGCAACTTAGTTAATTACCTAAACGAGTCGTTGTTAGCATGCCAAGAGACTGGGTGAATATCCGATAGAAAGACGCCTTTTTTCTTACTGTTGCAGAGATCACGAAATAAAAATAATCTTTCATTACTTTTTTAGCGTTTCAGATTCTTCGAAGTTCAGAACAATGGAAATAACTTTCTAGTACTCTCCATGGCACTTCTACATATTTTATACTGTAGGCATTTGGGGGTTGGGGTGTAACAATTCTGTAGAAGTACTCTCAACCTTGCTTAATACTAAACCTGTCAACAGTATCACACTGTTATTCTTCTGCTCCTGTAAAAAATATCTTGATCGTTTGCTCTCATTCTAAAGAAGAAGTTACTTTCCTGAAGATTAAATGGCACGACACTCAGTCCAGAAATTCAAGAGAGTATAATGTACACTATAGAGTCATAAAAAGCCTTTTCCGAAACGCTTACAGCGTTCAGAAAACCGAAATCACACCGAAGGAGTAAAAGGTTCCGTAGACGTGATAAACCCCTTCGGAACGCTTTAAGGGTATTTTCGTCAATCTTTATTCGTTCGATGTGGTTTCATTTTCTGAACGCTTTAAGCGTTTTTTAAAATGCGTTTTTTTTTTACAGTGTATGACCATATAGTTGTGCAATAATCATGACCGTGTTCTTGCGCAATTACAATTAGTTTCGAAGAATGGAACAAAACGACGTACATGTAATAAGGGAACAGTGATGAAACATATTTACATCAGAGAACGAGGACAGAATGAAAGTTTCTAAAGTACGTGAATGGGACTTTCTACGCTTCCTAATACCTTACTAGCATCAAATTCTCTCCTTTCACGCCAGCGAATATCTTATTATTTCGCACGAATCTAATTTATGAGAAATTTTTAATAAATTAAAAGAATCTGCTGCAAAGTTTATTTCCTGAGTATATTGTATCTGTCTTATCCTATTCAATATATTTAAAAAGCCACATTATTGATTTAGTTTCTATTGAAGGTATTTATAAGATTGCTTAGTCATATGTACATATAATAACTCTTGTGTGGAATAAATCAACTTAGAATTTGTTTCTAATTGGATTTTAAACCATGTTTATATGTTTTCTTTCCTTACAGAGACTCAAGAACAAATCAGAATAATATAAATTCAGTATTTTCTCATACCATAGACGTTTTCTGTTAACTAAATAAATAGTCTTAGTTAACAGACAGAACAATTCTACATGCTTTATACTAGAGAATTTTTTATTAGAATAGGAAATGTAAAATATCATCATCGGTTAGCCCTTGTGTCTTCTACTCGGACTGTTTGTATTTTCTAGATGCGGAACCCAATCCTGTATCAGATGTGATTTTGAGAAAGAGATTTGATGATTCGATCAGGAAGGCTCTCCAACTCTTGTCAAGTAAAATAATCGAAAAGTTTCCCAAATGCATTGAGTTAGAGCAAAAATTATGATAAATAGGGTTTTTATTACTTCATCCAACTCAATGGATTTAAAGTAAGAATAACTTGTCACGTTTTGTTTTTATCTACAGGAGACAAATACTGTAACCTTTTACCGTTATGAAGAAAAGAACAACGAACAATATTCTTTTCCATCTCATTTCTCACTTACTCATTTTTCCTTTTCATTTTTGAATAGAAAAGTTATACTTGCAGCTGTAAATAAAGAACAAGCGATTCCTTTTGTCAAATGGACTATATTATCTAGCAATACTAGACCATCACGCAAGTTTATTCTGCGTAGTTAATGGTGGTAATCCAGACAGATCAAAGAATCGCAAAATTTTAATAGCTTTTTCGGCCAGAACCGATTACAAATTTAGAATCTTCATAGTCGACCACCTTGCACTAAGGCGACTCCGTGCAGTGAGGATACTCTCAAAGATGTTTTCCGTATTGTATTGCCTTTAGAACCGTCCAAGTAGTTTTTGAAAAACTATTTATCAGTACGATGTAGATAGCCTTTTCTGAACATCCGACTAGAAAGTTGTTTTGTGTAAGGAAATCTACTTATAAAGAGTCTAAATCTGTAATCGCGAATTCTTGCAATAGCGTTAACAACAACAAGAACAACTGAACTTGATGCAACATTAACGTTAACGTATACGTCGATTCAAACTATACATCAGATTTATTCGTTTTCGCAATAATTGCTTAAAAAAAATTACATTTTAGCTCAGATATAGAAGGACCTATGTTTCTCAGTCACGATCCCGAAAAAAACTTCTTTTTTTGGTCACGATTTCGATCCCAAAAACATGAAAACAATATTTCGTTAACGGTGGAAAAGCTCGTGAACGGTTCACGAGCTTCTAGTCTGTAGTGTGGGCTTTGATTGTTGCAAAGTAAGCTGTACCCATGAGGAAATTTTATCAACTTTTCACGCGTGAAGGACCGTGAAATGTCAATTTGGACTTTCACGAAATTTTGTAGGTAAAGACAGGAAGTTTCACGACGGTTTGGTCGCGTTGTTGCAACATCACACGCGTAGCCACGCGTGAAAAATCTTCACACGTGTACACAAATGAACAATCTTCACGCGTGATTACGTGTGAAAAAATCTTGACCATGCCGGCCATCTATAGTCAACTGACTATAGATGGTCACCATGGTCAAGGTATAATGCAGTCTTCATCAATGCAACTTCATCCATAACTTTTTCCACGTGTGACCACTAGTTTCTAAAATATCACATTTTATATATATCAGCACAAAGTAAGAGTCGAACCAGGGTACTTTGAATTAGAAATCTACGATACTACTATTGAGCTAACTTGCCTGAGAAACTACTAAATAAATCTCATATTCATAGTTGTCGAATCAATCTTCACGAGTTACTACGTGTAAAAAAGTTCTCACGCGTGATTACTCGTGAACTTCCTAAATCTTTTTTCTTAGTTTCCAAATTTTCCAAGCTATTTTAGTTAATACTTCCTCCCGGGGAACAAGACGATTCCCAGGCATATTCCTACAGCAAATACCTTCGGTCTACAACAAAGGTTTTCATCTGTATGTATGTACAACTTTCGAAAGATATAGAAGAAACTTGTATTTATGCTTGTCGCTCAATCTTCACGACATTTCACACCTGTAAAATGTTTCACACGTGGACGTGTATGAAACGTAAGAATTTTGTCGCTTGCGGTTAAGCGTGAATATTATTCACGAAATGAGTTGCGTGAAACACTGACGTGCAAATAAATGTGAAGGTATTATTCACAATGAAATTAGTGGGAATCATTTTCACGCGTGTCCGCAAGTGATATTTTTTACGGAAATTTTAACATGAGAAATTTACGTGTGCCCACTACACACTTCACGATTTTCACCTGTGATCACGTGTGAAAAATATGACGCGCAACGTTCTCGCGACCAGTTCATCTGTTGTCACAAGTGGAATATATTTTTCACGCGTGCCCACACACCATTTTATGATGTTCACGTGCAACCACAATTCATTTCATGATATTCACGCGTGTACACACCGCAGTACCTACTAAAAGTTTCCCATGGGTATACTTGTGTAACATTCTAGAGATGCATTACTTCACTTAAATATGGAAAAGAGGTAATTTTTAGCTATTTTTATGGAATCGTTCAAAAAGATTCTTGGTTCCGGTTCCAATCCGAGTGATCAATTTTTGCAGTGCTGATTCCAGCCATGTTAAAGCTCTACAGCCATAGACTCTTGATAGAATTAACATATTGGTCTGATAAAGACACGACAAATATGCAATGGGGTACGACTAAAGAAGCATTTATCCTAGAAGGTTTTTGTAGTTCTAATTGCATACCCGATCAGAACGCTGTTTACACTCATTTTTATGAGATATCATTTTTATGAGATATCATTTTTATGAGATATCATTTTTATGATCGTTACTATCACGGTACACCTCGCTCAATCCGTTCTACAGCTACAACAAGGCATTACGGACACGTATTTGGCACCACCGTTTTCCCAGTATTACCTGTCACGCATTCAAGGTTCACGCGACGTTCTCGACCTCACAGCTAATGTGATGACGGTTCACCACTACATCATCCATCTCCTTCAAACCACGTCGCGCGCTCCACCATCGAACTCTCGCGTCTCCGCGGCCTCTCCACCTATGTGACGATTCTTTGTCACAACCTCTTCTTCCACTATGTACAGATTATCTTCCTATACGCGTATTTTATTTCGTTTTGCTCTATTCTTACTTTTTGGTTGTTTCCTTGTTCTTTTGCTTTTGGTTGTTATCTTTTGACATGTAGTAGAATATATATAGGATCGAGGATCTTTTAGTTTTAGTAAGCTGTATTTTATTCTTAATGGTCGAATAAAAGAATAATACACATAAAATACGTATCATAGAGCACACATACGATAAACTCAAGTACTTAAAAGTGGAGGAAATATAAGTCATCATACAGGGTTTGGTCTGTTGTATGAAGAATTCTCGGATTCTGTTTTAAAAATATGGAAGTTGAAGGGTGAGTCTGTATGGTTCGAAGAAGGAATCCATATACCGTTAAGACCGTTCTGCGGTGAATGTGGTGTTGCTAGAAGCCAAAAAGGAGCGTTCAACACAATTCCGCCATATAGAACCGGCAGCAACATTGACACAAAATACATCGTAGAAGGAACAAAATTGCTGTTGCCAATTGAATGTGAGGGCGCATTATTAAGTTTAGGAGATGGACACGCTGCGCAGGGTTGATGGATGCAGAAGTTACAAGTACTGCAATTGAGCCGCCTGTCAGTGTTCAAATGCGACTTTCTGTTCGCAAAAACATGCCGCATGTCAATTCTCCTCAAATTTGTATCCCTTCACAAGTAAATGCACATAAGAGCTGCAGAGGTTACTATACAATTCTTGGTGTAGCAGACACACTGCTTGATGCAACAAAAAATGCAGTTTGTGATCTCGGAAAAAAAAGAAATTCGCTATCTCGGTGATATAAAAGGTCTAACACGTGAGGAAACCTACATGTTGTGTAGTTGTGGCAGATCTACGCATTACGCAAGTAGTGGATATGCCGAATTATTGTGTGAGTATATCCACGATCTGTTTCCTTTATAGGCGGCGAAGATTTTGATCAAAACGCTGTTGAACATTTTATTCAGTTATTTAAAACGAGAACAGGACTAAATGTACGCAATAGTAATCGTGCAGTACAAAAATTACGTCGTGAAGTGGAAAAAAGTAAACGAATTTTATCCGCACAAGTTGAAACAAGAATTGAGATTGAATCATTTTTTAATGATAAAGGTTTCTCAGAAATATTTACACGTCCTAAATTTGAAAGTCTAAATGTGGATCTGTTTCGTTCTACAATCACTCTAACCGGCCCAAAGTGGGAAGTGAGGTAATGCATTTTGTAGCCCATGGTGTGCTCTATAAAAAAGTGCGCTTATATTGGCAAAACAAAAAATCTGATTGAGTTTCAAGAGTCAAAGTACAGGGTCCACTCTATGATCCAGGCTCCAAAGCATCGACATGTGCAGTGAAGATATCCAGACGCTCTCTAAAATGCTTCTGGCATAGCCTATTCGACTCAGTCTTTTACGCTGAACACGATATAGTTTTGGATTTCGACTGCGAGTGGCACTTAGTGGGGGAAAAAACGAAAATTGGAGAAGAAAACAAAATAAATGACCGGAAAATTGGAATGGAAATTTCAGTGCGAGGTCGTTCGGGTGTCACGCCTTCCCATATCACCGGATCGAAAAATTTCAGAAGCTTGTTCGGTCGAAACCGATTGCAGATTCGTCTTCTCCATGGATGATTATGTGGTACGCAATAACTTTTGGGTCGGGGTACTTTACAAAAATTTTATCCCATGGTCTTGCTCAAAAATTTTTCAAAATGTTACCGTATGGGACCAAAGGGAAAACGATGTCGAAAATTTTTTCTAAAGTATCCCGCGTACCACATAATCAACCACGAAGAAGACGAATCTGCAATCGGTTTTGACCGAACAAGCTTTTAAAATTTTTCGATCCGGTGATATGTGTTGGCAAACTTTCAAATAGTGCATTTTGTAGAGTTAGCTCGTGGGCAGTTTCTCACTAAACTTGGCGTATGGTCACATCTTTTGTGATTGGCACACCCCACTACACTGACACCATGAAAGGTGGCTATTCATAGTGAACGATGAAGACTCGACGAAAAATCTCTTTTCTTTTCTTTTGAAACGAATCAACCGGAGATATCAAATATATAGGCGTACAGCCCGAGATGAACTCTACGAAAGTGTATATAGAAAATATTTGTATAGGTCTCGGTGACGAGCAGTGTGATCAATATTGAGCAGGCATCTGCTAGACTTATATCAAAATTTGAATCAAAGCTCTGTAACAGTAAACTGAATTCAGTTCTCAGAAAACTTGATGAAAACACAACTTCCTGTATACCATTCGACACGCCTCAACTTGCTCTACAGAATTACGAATTTTGTTTCTCGATTCGAGTATGGTCTTGAAATCTTATAGGGTTCCTTCTTGCTTTTTTATTGTTTCCACTCACGTACGTGGACATCTTTGTACGCTTGTGATGGGGTTGCCTCATATATCAATACGTTTGTTATGTCAGCTATACTGGCATAGTCATACATTCTTCTTCTTTTCCCATGTCTTCAATGTCGTTTAAAAATCGGCGATTATCGCGTTTTTCGAAAAAGTCGCCGTTTAGCCGAGATAAGTTGGCGACTTCTGAGCAGATCGCGAATAAGCGTCATCTTTTTCTGGAAATGCGATTAATCAGTATTAACTGAAAAGTCGGCAGAAGAATCAGCGCATACGACATCTCTTGAAGGAGGGAAG